ATCTGGGGAATTTAAGAAAATGCATCATAAGCAATCAAAAAGTGAATTTTGGATTTTTTGCTAGCTATGACCATTTGCAATTTAGGTACGATGTTCGTTATGCATACATACATATGTATGTATGTACACATTTATTTGCTGTCTGATGATAATGTTTTATATAATTCTCCTCTACCTTTATGCGTTTGTAGTTTGTTTGACATTGGATGCCGTGTGAGAAATGTTGTGCTGCGCTAATAAACTAAAACATAAGTAGAAACAATAAGTAACGTTTCTCCATGTATAGCAGAGAGAATATCATTAGCTTTGAACTCGAATGAAGGTTTAAATTAGGCAGAGCTGTAATTTATGGATTGAAATGGTTATCGAGTTAATTGTATTAATTCGAAATTTTTGGCTATACAGGGTGTGTGTCCTAGACCACCCGTCCACCCTCTATAAAATGGAGGGACATTTTTTTTACTGAAAACCGCAAAAATTTTACCTACTAAATCGGGGATGCTCTATCTTATGGTGGTATTACCGACTTCCTATTTCGACCGGAAGTGGGTTAAACTGACCGGAAGTCCACTTTTTTTTTAAATTAGATATGCATATTTTTAGTACTGATACGGATTCTAAAGAAAAAAAATACTTAAATTTTGTTTGAAGCTTTTTTCTCAGAAGCGCCGTTTACTACCCCTAAATGACCTTTGGGCTTTAACTCGCCTTGGTCCTCTAAAATTAACGAAAATGTTTTTATTGGAAAACGAAAGAACATGAAGTCGAGGACGCTCATCTTTTGGTCGTGTTACCGACTTCCAGTTTCGACCGGAAATGGTTTCTACTGACCGGAAGTCCATTTTTTAAACAGGATTACATATTTTTAACACTTGTTCGGATTCTGCGCATAAAACTACATACCCTTTGGCCGAAACTTTTTTCCGGTTTGGACCGGAAGTGGGTCAAATTGACCGAAGTCCATTTTGTTAAATTACACCTGTATTTTTTTATTACCGATTCGGATTCTGTGGACAAAAATACGCAACTTTTGTTTTGATCTTTTTTCTCGGAAGTGCCTTTTTCAATCTCTAAATGACCTTCGAACTTTAACTCGTCCTGGACTCCTGTTGAAAAAGTGTTGAACAAGGCACTTCTGAGAAAAAAAATTCAAACAAAAGTTGTGTATTTTTATCCACAGAATCCGAATCTGTAAAAAATTGGACTTCCGGTCAGTTTGGCCCACTTCAGGTCCAAACTGGAAAAAAACTACAGACAAAAGGTGTGTATTTTTAAGCGCAAAATCCGAATGTGCTAAAAATATGTAAGCCAATTAAAAAATGGACTTCCGGTCAGTATAAGCCATTTCTGGTCTAAACCGGAAGTCGGTAATACGACAAAAAGATAGGGCGTCCTCGATTTGGTAATTCATGTTTTTTTCGTTTTCCAATCAAAAAAATTTTCGTCCATTTTTGAAAGTTCAGGACGAGTTGAAACTCGAAGGTCATTTAGGGATTGAAAACGGCGCTTCTGAGAAAAAATTTTCATACAAAAGTTACGTATTTTTATCCTTAGAATCCGGATATGTACTAAAAATATGCATATCTTATCCGGTCAGTGTAACTCACTTCCGGTCGAAAGCGGAAGTCGATAATACCACCAAAAGATAAGAGCATCCCCGATTCAGTAGGTAACATTTTTACGGTTTTCAATAAAAAACATTTTATGTATTTAGTACATTTTATATATATATAGACATATCAATGGTCTTTTGCCATAACGACACAATTCAAAATTTAAAAAAAAATCCTTACTACTGTTAAGTGGCTTATGCCTCTCATCCTTGCATAGTGGAAGTGGAAATCAACTTTAATTTAATTTTGTATTTAATTCTCATTTAAATAATTTTCAGTTTCAATAAACAATTTATTTAAGTGAGTAAAAAGTGGTTGTAAAGCAGACTAGGCCAGCGAAAGCATTCATTTGTACTGAGAGCTTTAGAAAGCTTTGGCACGCTGTGCTGTATACAAGTAAGCAGCAGACACACAATGATCAGGTGATTAAACGTCTAACACCTCTGAGTGTGGTTATTCTGATTTAATTTTTATTTAAGTGCAGAGCATAGGTCACTTAAATCAAAATTAAAATTGATTGGTGAAACCAAAAATTCGAAAATTAAAGTAATTTTCACTTATGTAAATAATTTGGTGAACCTGGCTGTAATATTCACAATTATTTTCATTAAAAATGTGTTTCATTAATTATTTATGAAAATATAGTTCATTCTATAACATAAACCATATAAATCAAAGTTTCATACTTTATATAAAGTTCACAAAAATTAAAGCAATTTTCAACAAAATTTTTAAATTTGTATTCAGAATTTCTAGAAAATTTTCGAGTATGCAGTATTTTTTCCCGTTTAATTTTAGTGAAACAGAGTGCTACCGATTTCTATAATTCTTATAAAGGAAAGGTGGTACCTCAGAGGAGGTCCCATGCTAATTTGGTTTAAATTCGATCATTAAATCATGAAGAAATTAACGGTAACGGTAACGGAAGTCGATCTTGTTTGTTTGTTTGTTTGAAAATTTTCAAAGAGCTTGTTAAAACGATTGTTCGATAATTAAAAATACGTACATATGTAGTATGTATATTCAGATGAGATTCTAAAATGTGGATTTAATATTTTAAAACAGTGCCGGCCACACTAATATTAGTATATACTAAACCATCTGCATAAGTGTGTGTGTCAAGCGCGTCCCCGCAGCAATTCAGACTCACCCTAGGTTAGCCCTCACATAGTCCCTATTGTTACCAGCACTAGTCCCTCATAACTCCCCTGCCAATGGTTTCAACTGTCATTTTTAGCATTGGCGGGTCAATTGAAAAGGACCGGTCCACTCAACAGTGACTGTAGGATAGTCCTGAAAAAGTCCAATTTTGGAGATTTTTTTTCGTTGGAACACGATTACGTTCTGCAGTTCACAGATACTTTTTCATATTTTGGAAACACAAAAAAAAAATAAAATATTTTATCATTTTACAACCATGTTGCTTCTACGGCATTTGAACCCGGACCCTCCTGAAAGCTAACAAATAGTGGTAAGCATCTCTGCGCACTGAGCTACAGCCAAATGTTCACTTTGAATCAAGGCCAGACGAAGCGATTGAGGTATTTACAGGGTGGTGTTCTTTAAATTTTTTTTATTGAATTGCAAGACAACACCATCCTGTCACTGCCAAACTGTACTTTTCGTCTATCTTTAGACCGCTTCCTTGGGGACTGGTCGAAGGCTGGCATTTTCGATGCAAGCAAATGTCCAATTCTGACCAGTGAAGTACTACTCCTTTATGGAAACTTGGCCGCCTTATTGCTGCAGGGGTGAGAAGCGAAAGCATAACTTCGTGTATACACATCGTTAGCCTTGGTATGAAAACACGAACGAAAAACTGCACAATGGGCACATTTCGGCCGGAATTGTTTTAAAATATACGTTTTCAAAACTTTCATAATTTTGATTAAAACACAAGTCAATTGATATTTAAAAATATGTATACATACACTGTCAAACATTTATTGATATCGATGGACATACTTACATTTAAATTAGTAACAAAAATTAATCATGAAAATATATTTACATATATTCTGGCGGCCGCTGTTATGTAAACAGTGCGCGCTTCCACTCCGCAGGGCCTGGGTTCAAGCCCTGGTCAAAGTAACACCGCAAAAAAAAAATTTTAACAGCGGTCGCCCCTCGGCAGGCAATGACAAACCTCCGAGTGTATTTCAGCCATGAAAACAGCTTGTAGGTCCCTCCATCGGAGAAGAAGCTCGACCAAACACTACAACTGCTTTTTAGATTTACGCTAGTTAGATTCTGTAATATACTATAAAGAAATTAAAAATTGTTATTTAATAACATATTGGAATTTGTTTTTGTAAGCAACTCTTACCAAAGCTTTCTCTAATCAAAAGGTGCACCATATCAGGAACGAACCTTTTCCGATAAATAAAGTTTTTCAGTTAAGTAGCTTTGAAAATTGTAATACAAAACGCATCGTTTTAAAACTTTCTCGTGCTTAATTTATTGAAACGAAATTTTCGTTTTTATTTTAAATGTTTCGTTTTACTTTGCTGGTTAAAAATTTTGTCGCACTACAATTTGTAGGAACAATGGGCCTTATGAATAAAAAACAAACAAGCGGATGTTGTCACTGTCCATGCTTCGGCGCCATACACTACCACGGGCATAATAAGTGACTTATAGAGTGTGATTTTCGTACGTCGAGAGCGGACTTTACTCCTCAATTGCCTACTCAGCCCAAAGTAGCACTTGTTGGCAAGAGTGATCCTGCGTTGGATTTCCATGCTGATATTATTATCGGTGTTAATGCTGGTTCCCAAGTAAACGAAATTCTCTATTTTCTCGAAGTTATAACTGTCAACAGTGACGTGGGTGCCAAGGCGTGAATGCTGTTTGGTTTGATGACAGGAGATCCTTCGTCCTGTTCTTGTTATAATACCCTTGTGCACAATATTGCTTGGGTATAATAATTTGAAGTCTAGGCATTAGGTAGTGTTTTTCGCAAGATGACACAGAACGAAAGCATCCAGCAAGAGAAAGTACGTACACCACACACCTATCTTTCTCATTCAGAGCAATATGCTGGGTAGCTGCTGGGTACCCATATCCATATGTATATCATTGATCTAGCACTGGTTCAATATTTCTTCTACCTGTTTTGTTAAGATATGATACGTGTGTTCACCAAATGCTACTATGGTAGCTAAGAAGGCTGAACATTTTCAGTAAGGCTCGTCGTTTTCTCTCCGCACACCATTTTATACCTGTTATACAGGACGTATCTATAGCTGCGTTCCAGATGCTTCACGATTTGCAGGTTTTTACAGGAAGTCGTTCCAGGTGACCACCTCCCATAAGGTTTATTAATGGAGAAAACAGCCGTTCCTGCAAATCGTGAATTTCGTGAATATCGTGAACAAAGTTTAATTTATAGCAGTCGCATGCAAAAACTTAGCCTCCAGAGCTACAATCTCTCTCTTCTGGCAAACGTTTAGTGTCAACATACTATTGAAAGTGACTACCTTGTTGGTATGTACCAGACAACTGTGTCGAAGTTGGTATTTCATGTTCTCCTCGGAATGGAAAACAAGTTGTGCCCGCGGCATATATATACGGCTTGCGCCAGAATATTCGCCCATATGCAAAGAGAGGTTTGCGACAAATATGAAATACAGATATCCGGATTTGAATAAAAACTTTATTTAGAGTTTGAGATTATTAATTACCATGGCTAATGTTTCTAATTCTAGTCGTTTTATTTCTACGTCAGTTTCTCGCGAGGTTTGTTGAATGCGGTGCTTTTCCTCTTTTATCGCCAGTAATCTTTCTTGTACCGATAGCATCTTCTCCTGCGTCTCCACCAGCCTATCTATTTTTGCAACCAAATTTGTTTGGAAGTCTGCAACAGATTTTAAATTTTGTTGGAGGAGGGCCAACTTTTCATCACTGCCACTTTTTTGTCTTTGTGTGTTTCTGCGTGGGGCTTTGACGCGGAGGGGAGGGAACTCCGATTTTAGTGGATCCGACAAGACGCTATGGGAGGAGCTGGCCTCTCCGTCGCTGGGACAACTATCACTATTACCACTGCTGTGCTCGGATGCTGCAGCTGGTGAATTTCCTAACTCTTCCAAACATTGGTCGTCTTCAACACAAGCTTTCAGTCCGGCGGCCTCAATTATCATCTCCTCAGAGGCAGTAATAACCTTCTCGCCATAAGAGCCTCGGTGCTTAGATGCCTTATTCAAGAAGAGCTTTTTCTTTGCATGATATTTTTGATCGGCGAAAACCTGTAAGTAATCAATATAAAAACCTTTTTCTGTTAAAATTTATTATGAAATTCATATATGTAAATACCTTTCTCCACGTCCTGGAATCTTTAATTGGTGGGCCTACGTCATTTAAACGCCTAGAAAGCTCCTCCCAGAGTCTAGCCGATGTAGCTCTGCCTTGTACCGAGTTGGAAAAATTGTTCTGGGCCAAATTCGGGTGCTCGGTCATAAACTCAGCCATTACATCCTTCTGAGTAGGGTTTAGTTTACTAAAACTAGACCTACAGTAATAAAAGTAGTTATAAACCTTACTTATAAATTTTTTTTAACAATTTACTTACATTTTTGCCTAAAGTCGCTCGCGTTCGGTTGACAGTTGGTGTAGGAATGACATTTCGATCGAGTACGCTTGTCACTCGTTAACGTATGTCATCATACCGTATTACGATATAAACGATACGTTCACGTGTCAGTGCTGCCACAGTGTTTATTTGTTTATTACCAAAATCACCATATCATATGTATATAGTATGCAAGAATGCTGCACCGTGCACAGTATGAAGTTAAAGTTAAAACCCCACAAAGCTTTTCATGCGTTCTACTCAGACATCATTTTTATATCAGTAAGAGCGTCGAATCCACAACACCATCCGTATACAATCGGTGAGTTCGATAACCGTACAAGTCCAAAATCAATTTTGTATAAAGATCAAAAACTGTACACGTCACGAAAATGTACGGGTTTTCTTGGATTAAAAGGTAGAGATAATTAGGTATAAAAAGGAACCGTTTTGATATAAAAAAAAAAGATTTTCACTCTATTTTGTAAAATTTGTATTGATTTGCAAATTTGGCGAGTGCAAATGTACAATTGCAACTGATGCATTCTTCGCTTGGCTAAACTCTTTTTAAATCAGCAACCAAGCTGTACTAGTATCTTGTAATTAAATAGTTAATTGAAGAGTTATGAACCGAAAGTTTACATCTTTATAGATTGTAAGCTTTTGGTCCCGCTAAGTCCTTTTGTACTACTTAGGGCGTTTTCAGTGCCAGTTTAAACTTAGATTAAGTAGACTGCGTCTAAACAGCCGACTGACATATTATTGGCTACTTTTAGTTTAAACAAGCCAGATAGGGCGTTTTTACAGAGTTTAAATCACTGCCGTGTACTGAAATACTTGTCCCTTACTGTTGCTATTCAAAGGTCTTTCCTAATGGGCCTATTGGAAAATATGGCTCGGGATCTATTGGAGCCAAGACCTCTGCTATTTAAGCTAAGCCATCCGGTATCTCATTCTCCTGTATTCCCAGCAATCCATTAATTCCAATATAAAATGTTTTTAATTTCCGCCGCTTACCTTTGAGTACTTCCTACAATTATCCTTGCTCGAGCTTTTAGCTTTCACTGCTATATGTATTCTAATCGACATACATTTTAAACACAATTTAAAGTTTTACATCGCTCATTTCTATGCTAATATTTCGAAAACAAGATTTTTTATGATTTTTAAGCAAGAATGGATCGAATTTTTGTTATTCTGTGTTCTTTTTCGTTTAACTTTTCATCTATTCGCTTTTTTTTTTGCAAACTCAGCTGTTATTAAGTGGTGATGCCAGATTTTAAATATCCTCGTTCCCCACGATTTGCGGGATACTCCAGTAATTAGAACGTAAAAATAAGTTACTCTCTTAAAAGTGTCAAAAATGTGCCAACACGCACGATGCAGCGATGCATGATACAATAATTTTTAGAAGGTAGTTTCACTTCTTCTTCTTATCCGCCATGTTAGCTATCTGACAGAAAACGTGTTTCGTATTTTTTGTTGTACCAACTTTTTCAAAAAAAAAATCCAGCTTTTGACGTTGGAAAAATAAAAGAAAGAAAAGCCAAACATATAAGTAGAGAAATTTTCGAATATTTTGTAATAATTTTCTTCATAAAAAATTAACTGCTGCTTTCGTGGATATTGCAACACACGGAATAGATGTAAGGACACAGCTATAAGAGCCACCGCAAACCACAGACTTTATCGGCCGCCTATTTAAATGATAGGGCTCGCTTGAAATATGTACATGAAGATGTATGGAGGTCCGCACATTATGCAGCGTTTTTGCTGCATTTAAAATGCAACATTTAGCACTTTCGAACATATGTTTTCGAAGAGCGTTCATGCTATAGCATTTAGCAAATGTACATATACGCGAGTTCGAAATCGTATGCTTTTGACAAACAGCCGTGTTCCAGTCTCTTATTTAGATGCGTATATATTACGATCAATTCTCACGCAGAAGATAATGTGCAAAAACCCTACTGAAAAGGAAAAAATAAATTTTAAACCAAAAATTCAATACAAAAACTTGAATTGTTTTAACCATAAACGAACATTTGTTTGTGTATATATTTATTTGTCGGTGCATTCAATTAAAATTTCCTCACTTAATTAGGAAACAAACCAAACAGAGTTGATCACAAATTGATCCAGATTTCTATCAGTATCAAATCGATGTTGAATTTGCTTAACTTTTCTTTATCCAAATATGTAATGCAAAATAAAAGAAATCTCGATCGGCGATCACTGAAACGCAGCTAGCAACTGTATACTCGAAAAAGCAATGTTGCCACTTTTTCTCTTTAAACCATGTTCGAATCGTGGAAATTTTGGAAGATCACAGGGTTGCTTTTAGCATTTAGATTCTTAATGCAAAAATGTAGTTGCATTTAGTTGCATTTAGGTGACGAATTTTGTATGGATAAATGTACATTTAGAGTAGCATTTAGAGCTAAATGCGCTAAATGTGCTTTTACGCGTAAGCAAAAACAGCCTATTACACCAGCTTAATCGCTCTGACCAATAGGTTGTGGTGCAATGGAAAGACTAGCGAGCACATCTAAATTGGCGGCCGATAAAGTCAATGGTGTGCGATGGATCTAATCCATTATAAACAGGAAATATTGCTGTCATATTTTCATTTTTATGATTTTTATTATATTTATATTAAAAATTAAGTGATCAGTTATGAAACATATAAATCTTTACATGTTCTGTTAAAAAATATCTAAAATAACAAGCGATAATCCCCAAGTTCTATATCGTAGCAGTAGCCACATTGCTCGTTTGTCACAGACACGGTTTATGTCAAAAATTTTGAAGTGAAACTACCTTCTAAAAATTATTGTATCATGCAGCGATGTATTCTAGCATTCTTGGCCAACACGTTCCAAAAGTGCCCAGAGCGTGTGGAACGCAAAAAGCCACATTTCGTGCCCGTAATCGACATATCAGCTCTAAACAATGATTTTACGTGTATTTATCTTATATGGTTAATAAAATTACCAAATAACTACATTTTCTGAAAATTCTGTGATATTTTCCACTTTTGTTTTTATTAAATTTGCTTTCGGATTTAAACAACAACAGCTGTTATTTCAAATTGCCCGTTTGTACATTTGTGCCCGGAAAAAAAGGCCGCGCTGTTTCGTGCACAATGAAGAAGACGTTTACGATCCAAAAGTGAAAAGTATTCGCTCTCTTTTACCCATTTTTTTTCGTGAGGAACGCTTTCTGGGGTGTTTAAACACCAAATTTAGGCACCCGCGGGCTCGTGTGGAACAAACCTAAACATGCGATATCAGAGGCGTAGTCGTAACTTTCCTACAAGAAAAGGACCTTTTTTCTGACCTCTTCACTAACACACTAAAATATACACCAATACACAGAAAAACACTTGTAAAAATAACCGTAGGAAATACAATAAGTAGAAAAGAGACCTTTTAGCACTGCTGGTAAAACCGCCATGTGAGAAAGGGACGCATAGTCACATGTACACAAAAGAAGTGTCTAGGAAACCGGAAAACCCCAGATTCATATCTGGTTAAGGACTCACACTCCAGCATCATTCCCCAAAAAGTTTTTATGTCGCTACAACAACAGAATACTGGAATTCATTTCGTTAATATTAACAAAGCCAATAGATTCTAAGTAAACAAATTCATGATATGTATATATCGCACACCGTCTTCAAAAGAGTCACAACTCAAAATTTGGCATTTTTGAGATTATGCGCTAAAAATGTACACGCGAGCTTTTATTTACCTTTCAGCAAAATCTGGAGCAAATTTTTGTTCTAATTTGTTAACAAAACTTAAGGTAAAGTCGCACTTGCCCATAGGACTATCATGTGCTAAGAAATAGTTTTTCGCATTTTCTGACAAACGTAGTATTTTGAGTTGTGACTCTTTTGAAGACGGTGTGCGATATATATTGAATAAATAAAACACATTATGTCTTTTTTGCACAAATATCTTGTATTTATAAATTAAAATTGTTTTAGAATTTTTATTTTTCACAGTATTATAATACCAGTTTTGATTTATTATGTAAATAATTTGTTCGGCACAAACAAATCTCAAACTAATGTTGGGCGTTTTTATTATTTATATTGTTTTTTTTTTTTCAATATTTATGATTTTAACAAGAGTTTTTCAATGCTAATTCAAAAGCTATAAAAGTTATGAATATTGCTTCGCTGTGTGTATACTCTTGCTGTACTTGAAAAGTACCATAATAATGTAACAATAACCAAATTAACAAAAATGTTATAAACAAACTTTAAGAAATATAAATAATGAATATACACAATATTTAATAGATAAAGTATTTATATATTTCATGGTATGTTTAGGCTTCGCTGTTGTTACAACTATGTGTACTATGTATTACGTTATGTACATACATACAAATAAATCGAAATCATGCCCCGAACTTGTGTAGTTCAATTAAATGGGCAAAATAATAAAGAAAATAAAAGTCTATTAACTGCCTTAGACTAAAAAATATTACATAAATATATATATATGTATATAGGTAAGGAATAAACCTATTTCAAAATACACTCATTTTGTGTATACTAAATATGTATGCATCTTTTGTGTTAATGTGCGTAAACTATATAAAAAGGATAAGGCAACTTAAATAGGAAACACTTAATTGAAATGGGTTCAGATATGTGTTTTGGTTTTTTTTCTTCTTTTTCTTATGTACCCACACTACCTAAAATATGTATAATGCGCATATATTAAAAGTTTTCAGTTGTTTCATTATATGAATCGTATGTAGAGGTTCACTTGTTGCTGTGGTTGTTCTGTAATTGGCAAGAGGCTTTTACGCGCTCTCAAATGGCATCACGTTCCCTTCGTCATCATCCTCACAGTTCGCTAGTGTGTGTGTGTGTGTTCTAGTATGTGTTCGACGCCAACCACTCAACATTTGTGGCATGCACACAATGCCGCCACCACCACCGCCGCAAGCTGCCTTCCTCCTCCCTCCTCCTATTCGTCGTCATGGCTGTGTTTAGCGTCGCTTGTGTTCTTGCACCGGTCAATTATTGCACGTATTTATTGTTTATGTTTACATATTTTTATTGTACATTTCGTGTTTGCTTTCAGCCGGCAAAGGCAGCTCAGTAAGATACTTATTGATAATTTTGTGTACGATATTTTTTATTTTGGGTTTTCCTCATTTTGTTGTAGTTGTTGTAAGCATTGTTGCAGTTGTAGCGCTATTTGTTGTCTATGGCATGTCTTTTGTTGATGTTGTTGGTTTTCGGCGTTTGCGGATTCCCATACACAGATTCATACATATGTATGTATGTATATATATGTGCTTAAAATGTTTTTTGTAACATCGTCGACTGTCTGGTTTGTCTGATTTTATTTTTAGTTTCAATCGAATTTATTGCATTGTTGTTTTTTTTTGGTGATTTTTTTGTTATTTTTTTTTTGTTATAGTGCTTGCTATTGGCTAGCTGGCTGACTGCGGCATTGTTTAAAGCTAATGGACGTTGCTACAAATCAAAATGTATTATCATCTATTTGCATCTCCAATTCGATGTCGGCGAGATTCACCTCACGCAATGAATTTATGAACATATAACGTGAAAAGTAAATATACAACCAGCGGAACCATTTCATTTGGGATTTATGCTCACGCATAGCGCGTCGTATTTGCGCGGCCTCATCCCAGCCCAATATGCACCTGCAAGAGTGAGAAAAGTTAAAATTTTTTATTTTCAAATTGTATTACAATATTCATTGAATTGATGTAAATATAGCAGATTAACGAAAGAAACGTCGCTTTTCAAAAAGTCGAACTCCGGGCCTTAAGCTTACGTTCCATTGCGCTAATAGAACACATGCGTACATACAATTGTACATATGTTTACATATATGCATATTTATATTAAAAAATAGTGTAAGTTTAAGGCAATTTAGATGAATGAACAACTAAATTTTAATCTCAGTTATGAAATTAATTTATGTATTTTTAAAATTTGGATTCTTCAATCCAAAAATAATATAATTTATTAATATTTTTATTGAGCTTTGTACCACGATTGTTTATTAGGAAAAATTGAAAAAGCAACAAAGTCTAAGCGGTAGAAGTTATAGCACTATTTCGGAGATCACCACATCTCCTCATCAGACTTCTTTTTTCTAGACTTCAGCAGGGATCGAACCTGCGAATTCGATGTTCAAAGTCAGAAGCGTTAACCACTGAGCTATGTACATCCCGTGTACCGCTTAGACTTTGTTGCTTTTTCAATTTTTCCTAATAAACAATCGTGGTACAAAGCTCAATAAAAATATTAAAAATAAAAATGTTAACAAGCCACAATAACATTGACATAATATAATTTATTTTAAATCAATTTTCCACATTTTAAAACTTTTAACTACAAAATCCTTTTGCATTCCGTAAATTTGTTTCTTAAAAACACTTCAATAAAATTATGGAGTGACCCAAAGTAAGAAATTATCACTTTAATTTTAAAGTTAGAAAAGATTCACAATTGTTGACCTACTTTTTTATTTACATACTTCCATCAAGTGTTAAAATTTATAAGAGAATATCGCAACACATTTTTCTTTGATGCTGAAATGAATACTGTGAAATTACTAAGTACATTTGTATACAAATTAGTTTTCATGTAGATAGTATGTATGTATATATGCACACACTCTTAAAGAAATCTTCTATTTGTATCATTAAAAATGCCTGCCCTTGGAGCACTAAAATAAAAGAGTTCACGCATAAATGGATTGTTTATTTTTAGATTGCAAAACAGAAAAAAAAAACGACGATGCGAGCTACTAAACTGTCTCAGTGGTATATTCCGTCAATATCAGCACATTTTTATCTATGCACAACTAAATATAGAATATCAGTTAACTATCATAAAGTGATAACAAAAATATAATAGGCCTTTATTGAGTTACAATTAAATTACAGCTGTTCATAATCTACTTACCAGTAAGTCGATATACAGCACGTACAAAGCAAATCGAAAATTGAGATATATTTCCTTAAAATATTAATAGAGTCCAGTGTATAAAATTTGCAATCTGCAAATAAAAAAAAAAGTTTAGTCAAAACAGTCATTATAAACTTTCTATCTCATTAACAATTCATTACATATTCGACATGCGTCATATGATTCATTCAACACCTTGACAGTATTGACGAGAAATACTTCGACTGAATGATATACGTTGCACGCGCCCAATAAAGTACATATATTCGCCTCCCGCTATTAAAGTTAGCATTTTACTTACCTTTTGGTAATAAATTAGCCAAACACAGTGATGCTGCTGCGAAATATACAGCGCTGTGGTTTGGGTGCTGACTCACACCATCTCGATCGAATGTACAGATCGCTTGAATGTCAAGACTTTCGACAGTGTGCAGAATTATGTTCGCCACCACTGGTGCCTTCCATTCCACATTCGGATCATCGGGCAGATTTGTGGCATTCACCATTATGATATTGGCCGCTGGAACACCTAGCATTTCACATGACCGCCATAGTTCTTCGCGACGTAATTGCGCTTGCTTTTCGAAGTTACCTTGAAAAATATGCATTAATTAATTATATACTTATGTACGTATGTATGTGTGTATGAATAATTGTTAAATATGTATACGCAGGCATAATTCAATCAATTTCAAAATTGAAGGAGTTGCATTTATTCATACTCACCGTTTGACAGACAAAGCACGTATACTTGGCAGCTAGAGCGATGTGTCAACGTATAAAGCAGTGGCCCAAAAAACATGCATTCATCGTCCGGGTGTGACGTTACCAGCAAAACACGCTCCAATTTGTGTTGTCTCGGAAAGCGTACATTGTTGATTAATTTGCACCAACGCCACAGTGGACTGTTGCTGCGGGTCGTAAGGAAAATGCCCAGGCATACTAGCAAGTACACCAGACACGCGTAAATGATATGCTCCAGGGCTTCGATTGCTGTCGAACTGAAGCGTCGATACGAGAGTGTTGCCCAGTGCAGCACGTTAGCACGCCACGTCTCTTGCAATACGATCAACGCTTGCGTCTGATTGCCAGCTAACTGTTGCAGGAACCGGCCAGTATCCTCATACAACTGCAATGTACTCGCACTTACCAATTCAATTACTTCACTTAGCCAGGACAATTTCATTTCATTTCAAATGCAGCGCGTTCTGCGGTCTGTGGTATTATTGTGGTTTTTCAATGCAATATGGTTGAATCGTTAAATTAGTCGCTCGGTGTTGACTAAAGGCTTTCTAGTTAATTATGAAACAATCGTTAATTATTTTAAGTTACCAAATGGTTTTTTGCAAGTACAATTTTCCGGTGGGCAAGCTAATACAAATGTTTCCAATTATGGTATTAGGCGATTTGTTCGTTTGCAATTTTTTTCCCCTTTTTCCGCTGCAGTATTTAGCTTACACTCTAATAAATAATATCCGATTGGTGCATAGCCAAGCGGTTTTAAATCGCGTAAAACTATTTTGAAATACAGCAATAATTTATGGAGTATTTTACACTTTCTGCCGCGCACCTGTGAGGAGACCACATTTGCTTCCTATGATTTTTGGTGGTCGCTCGGCTCCTTTGGCAAATGGCACAGAAAGCCAACAGCTGTTTTCTGTTTTTATTTGCAGCGTTGCCACAATCCGTGAAGACGTAACAAAAAAGCAAATCTGAAAACTCTAAAATAATACCAAAGAGCGTAAATTTATAAGAAGGGACAACTCGTTACTTTGATAATGTGCCGCGACGATTATGACCGGATAATAATCACCGAAATTCACATTTGCCGCTTTTCTTCTGTTTTGCTTGCATTTTCTGCATTCGAGGCGAAAATCAAAAATCTGCCGCGGGCAGAGTCAAAACGGAGGCGAATTCCTGTTGCAAACCTTTCATATACGGTCAAAATCGTTGCGGCATATTTTCAAAGTAACATTTGTCTCTTATAAATTTACCTTCTTTGGATTTACGTTCTAAGCCAACATCTTTTTCTCCATTTTCTACCAGTAGAGGTCGCATAAATCCCGCAAGATTTTGTGTGGTATGGCAATTACTTTCCGTCCACTTTTGACAACTGCTGTCAATTTTTTGAGATCATTTTTCTACGTTTTCGTCTGCTGTGAACAGGAAGGGAGGAACATTTCTGAGTGATTTTGTGCTTTTAAACTTATCTTAATTTCTTAATTAGTGTTTAGGCATTAATTTAGAGAATACAATTTCAACGGTACGTGAAAGTGACATTTACAAATTGTATAAATTTATTATTCTTGCATATTGGCGAAAATTAATCAAGTTCTTGGTGAAGAAGAAGAAAAAACAGCCAGCAACAAAAACAGCAGCTGCGACATTCTAGTAGAAAAACAAAGGAAGAATTTGCATAGTGAAGCAAACAAGAAATCAATAAAACTGACTAGACGTCAAAGGGATGTGGCCTTGTTCAAAGATAATATTTAAAATAAACTTAATAGAAAGTAGAAAACCATACAGATTCATTAAATTGTAAACAGTGTACATACAACGCTACTTAACATTTTCGCGGCTGGACCGGAAGTGCACGCCCCTAAAAAGGAGTTGTTTTAAGGGTGACCAAATACATAATCCAAAGTCCTCCGCTAACAGCTGCAGCCTGCAGGAGTAAAAAAGGCTTCGACATACACAGATGTTGGTTCACCCGGGCAGGATCTGAGGTCATTCAAATACTTGAATATATTAAAATATTGGAGATATTTTCAAGCAACTAAAATACGAGTCCTTTTACATTTAATTTCGGAAAAATAAAATATTCATTGAAAGAACAAGCTAAAAATCCGTCGCTTTAGTTACTGCTTAAACTACGCTAAAAGATAACCTCAATGTCGTCTACGAATCAACCATTGGTCGACTTAATCAGCACATTATCTGAAGATGAAGCAGCAGCCGCTTCTGCAGCAGCAGGTACACACGGATTCGGTACATCCTTTGGGTCAACGAACGCTAACAAGCTTGTAACTGAAGTAGAGGTAAAATAGATGTTTAATATGGAAAGAAAAGAAAATTGATTATTTGTACGTATGTATGTATGTATATATGTACGTAGATGCAGATTTTTCTCATGTTTTCACGAATTTGTTAAAAATAAGCAATGTAGAAGCGAGATCACAAAAATCTCGCTTGTTATGACACCATAAAGACTTTGAGATTAGATCAGTCTTTTGATGTAGGTTATTTTGATTTTTTTTTAAATATCACTTAACTGGTGCTTTACTTTGTATATTCTCTTGTTGCTGCGTTAACCACAAATGTTTTTTTTTTGTGGCACAAAACTACTTTTTACTTTTTTTAGAAAACTTTTACAGCAGTTTATAAAACCATGTTAAGCATAATGCTAATAAAAAACTAAATGAAACTATAATTAGGGTACCAACGCATGAGTAATGAGTAACAGCACCATTTTAAGTTAAATGAATTAATTATAAATCCTGTTCCAGGTACTTCCGGATTTGAAGGAATTTACGGGATATTACAGGAAGCTTTTCCCATACGCCATCTTACTTACACAAGGTTAATAGCGAAAACAGTTTTAAATTCTGTACAATCTGCAAATCCTGGGGTACCTGCAACAGGTTAATAGAATTCGTCTATTAAATAGATACATTACCATGAGGCTAACCCATAAATGGCTGACAGTTTCTTTCATACAAAGTATGTTCAACATTTTTTTTTTTTATGGAAGAAAATAATCACATTTAGCAACTTCAAACTTGATTACAAAGTTGCAAATTACTACGCAAATTTATATAATTTTGCGGTATTTTGCTCAAAATTTAGAGTTTATTTTTATATAAAATTACCGAAAAGAAATTGGAATAAAAAACTTTGCTTACGTTGCGAAAACTTCTCTGTGTCAATAATTTTGTCCGGCACTGTATATGCTTAATAATGTAATAATACATACATATTTAATGCTTTTGTAAATATTTTCTTAAATTTATTTTAAACTTTTTGAAATAGCAAATAATTTGTACAACACAAGTATCCGTGCATAGGAATCTAATGTACATATGTATGTATGTACATGTATATATACCTGCACAAGTAACTGAGCTCATAAACAAATAATTTGTATCTCCTTTCCTTTCCGCGTACAAAAATTAACATTGATATCATATATACACATACATATGTACATATGTATGTATATTTGTTTTCTTCTACAGATAAATACAATCGGACTGAACAAAACAAAGAAGAAAAAGAAGAAATCAAAGAAAAAGTCACGGCGAGAGCAAATTTTGTTATCAGTCGACGACGAATCTGATGATGATGATGAAGCCGAAGTAGATAATGCTGAAACAGGTGGAGGGGACGCCAATGGGTATACGACCAAAGTTCGTAGCAAACCAGCTACTAGATATAGCGATGCCGATGCCGATGGAGATGATGAAGATGACAATGAAGTTGCCATCGGCAATGGCATCGTCACCACCAATGAGAATGATTTGTTCAATTCGCTCAACGGGCACTCGCACAATAACCGACCAGAGCAACAAGCCCACTACCAGCTGCAAAGTCAGCAACGACAACAAAATAAACATACAACGCAACAACTTTTGCTACTAGATGAAAACCTACCACACAACAATAGCAACACCAATAGCAGTTTCATTTCACTCTCACCCAACACATCGCCGGTACTAACTAATGGACTGGTTACCACAGTTGGCGCTCATCATCAACGTGAAAGTAGTGGTGGTAGTCAAAGTGGAATTGGCACGAATACCAGCCGCAGTAGTAGCAGTGCGAGTAGCGCTAGCGGGAGTAATCATAGCGAACACAGTACACCACAATATGGCAAAGGAACAGCATCTCCAAGGCAGCAAGCTGCTTTAAATCAACATATATCACCATTATTGACGTCAACACCACCGTCAGTGGCAGCTAAGTCGCGTAATTTTCAAACGAAGACTAATCAGCTGGTGTCGTCAACGTTACAACGACACTACGACAGCGCTGACGACGGTGACGAGATTTGTCTAGTGCCAGAAGTCGATTTCGAAAGTGGTTCCATTATGGATGCGGGTAGTGATAATCGGGAATCGCAGCCTTTACTCGGCGGTCATGGATATAGTAGCAGTAGTGGTGGACGGGATCACAATGAACTGGCGGCTAACACATTTATGGGTGAGTGCATTAGAAAAACAAGAAATAAAAGTAAGCAATAAAAGGCGAAAAATAAAATGACAACGAAAAATTGCATTCGGGCAAATGTGTGAAATTGTGAAATTCACAAATATGTATAAAGATGTTGTTTGTTCCGAGTATTATACATACATCAAAATGCAAATATGCAATTAGGCTTGTGTGTTTATGCTCATGCCATAAAAGTGACATAGAACTCACTCACCTGTTCACATTTAATTGTATATTGTGGCTTCATTTTGGCCTACATCAGAGGGCTCAACTTACATTTTTTTTTGTTTTTGTTTGTTTGTAAAAACTTGCTCGCGCATGGCTGACGACTTGATATGGCTTCTTAACGTCAGTGTGTATTCTCTGTTCCAGCTACATATTATTTGCTCCAGTAAAACAAGCTAAAAAAATAGCAATTCTGGCGATAATGACATGCCCAACTTATGTTCTTGATATATTTTTATTATACTACTATTTCTAGTCTAACCTACGGGGTTTTTGCAACTATTTCATTGTTTATTTTATTTATTTATTTTTTAGTTTCAATAAGTATTTTACATGCATGCATACACAAGTACAAATGTATATATGTATATGGTATTGCTTGTGAGTCACCGTTTGTGTACTACAGCAAATTTATTTATTTATTTAATCATTCTTGCGAATGTGCACTGTGAAGCAAACCTTGCTTATTTATTAAGCCCTGATTTTTTTTAAATTAATTATTATCTCGGCAAGTGGGCTCACTTGTCACATACAAACATAACTAACAAAAGAAGAGTTCGATGACAACTATTTGTTTCCCCTCTTAAACACTGTGTTTGTATACTTAGGCGCAGCCAGGAATTGCGGATAGATGCCCCCCCCCCCCCCCCCCCTCTACTACCACTACTACTAAATTTTTTACTTTTCATTTAATAACACAATTTCATTGTTTTTTAATTTTTCCATTTTAAACTAATGACAAAATACCCTTTAACCAATTCTACAAAAAAATGGGTTATACATTAAATATGTTAATAGTAGTTCTTGTTGTTGTTGTAACAGCATACAAATTCCCTAAACAGTTTTTGGGGAGTATTGCTGCAGTGACAGCCCTTGGCCAGATAAAAATCTGGGTTGTTCCGGTTACGTAGACCCGACTGTCGTGGGAACGTGAAACTAATTACAAAATGGCATCTACTCTAAGAATTAAAGCGTTAAGAATTGTTCTCTTTTGTTTCACTGTAGAGTGTATTTGTACTTTTGCACATTCAATACTAGCGCCTACGAAACTTGTATGAAAGAGAAACAACAAAAATTAACCTCGGAAATACTTAATAATATTCTCACAAATATTTAAACATTTCACTTTCTCGTTGATCTGCCGATTGCGCGTTAGAAAAAAAATCAAAAAAAAAAAACAACGCTTTAGCAATCGATTGTGCACACCGATTTTCATACATACTTATGTATTAATATCTGAAGATAAAGACCATAACATAAACAATACCTTCAATAAATACCTTCGTTTCGATGTAACTGCAGAGCCACGATGCACAGTGGTTTGAAACTGGAATTTAATGTTCACAATGAACTGTAGCCTTAATTTTTCAAACAATTTTATTTTTATTTTTTTAACTAATGAAAGCTTATAAAACTAGCAAGAGACCAGTTGAGCCCGATATTTGGAATTTTATATGTTTATATAATTTTTTTTTTGTGCAAAGTGCGGAAAATATAGCAATTTTGAAGAAAATCGATTATACTGTTCTTGTTAATAAATGTTACATAATAAAAACTAGTTGAAAACAATTGGGGGGGTTCCCCAAAACAAAAAATTTCGAAATAAAAAAATTTTCACCAAAATTAAATTTTTTTTTTAATTCTTAGAAAAAATCTTGGTATGCAGTTTTATGGCATGATTCGATAATAAAAGATTTGCTCAGAAAACAGTTTTCTCACTTCCTTTTGATAAAATCGGCTCCTTAGCAAGGCAGTGTGCGGGTGTGTATATGTGTGCAACCTTTTGTAAGGCAATGCAGGTTGCAAGTGGCTAAGAGTTCGCGTGGATTTGTAATTGTTGTTGTTGTTGTTGTTATAACAACATCCTATAGAGTTTTTCGGGAATGATACTGGAGTCACAGTCCTTCGCTGGATATATATTGGGTCGTTCCGGTTACGTGAAGCCGACTTTCGTGGAAACGATGGTATTGGACCATATTGCAACTTTTTGATATATATGTACATACCATGTCTCCACTAGTCGTAATGTATTTCTTTCGCATAAGATTTTTTTCAAGCAGAGGCCTTACCTCATTTTTCGACTGCTTGTATTTATGTAAATGAAATGAAAATTTCTTGCGTTCATATCTAATGAATTTCCGCTTGGTTTAACACGATAACGAAAAATTAAATTCTACTTTTGATGATCTGAAGAAATTCCCAAAACCCGCCCAAAATCAGTTGTGACAGGATATATTGAATCTGTGCTTAGTGTTTGAACAAGTTTCTCCTCCTTGGCGGATTTTCGTTGCCCGCTGAGAAACGATCGCTTATAGGAAAAAAGGAGCACTAGCTGCCAGGGCTTACGGCACAGAAAAAAATATATTTTAACAGTTTTATATGAAGCGCCTACCAGGAATTGAACATTTCTTCTAGACAATTTTTAGTACGCAGTCTAAACACTCCGCTACGGGAATAGATAAAGACCCAGCCAGCAGAGAAATGTAAATATTGCCGCCCGTGCGGTCTCGTACAATTTTCCTTATCCGGAAACGAACACAAAACGACTACAATTTTCGTTCATTTTCGTATCCAAGAATAGAGAGGAATAATTGTATTTTATTTGTTCAAGCTGAACATTTGAATTAGCAGTGGCTGAGCATGCAGAAGAGGTGCCACGTTTGAAGTACAATAAAAAGCTATACTAGCGGCTGTCGATCCTCGGCTGGCAATGGCCAGCCTCCTAGTATATTCCTGCCATGAAAAAAGCTTCTCATTAAAACCATTTGCTATTCGGTGGCAGTGTAAAACTGCAGGTCCCTCCCCTTTGAGAAGAAGAAGCTTGGCCAAGCGAAAGCAAATGCGTTGTTGGCAAATATTTATTTAATAAGTACATAAGTCTACACCCTTTTCTATCACTTTATACCCTAATACAAAGGCTTCCACACATTTTGAGCCATTCATGATTTTTAACTTCCATTTTCAAATAGGCTATGTGCAAGTTTTTGCATGCTTAGCAAAATTCCAATGCTAAAACTGTGCGCTGAAGCTCGTTGCAAACAAAGAAGTTCATACAAACTCTATTTTTAAAAAACGTCATACAAGTTATATATCAAAAGAGATCAGCATTACGATTACTATTTACATACATACATATGTATGTGCACATATTCGGTGCTTCTGCCCTATAAGTAGAGAGCGCATTGTATTTCATTATTATTTGGCTTAAAAACACAAACAATTTAATTCGCTACAACGCGTCATGCTCGACATGTCGCTGGTTTGATAAGGGGCGCCCGTATAAGCATGCGAGCTTATGCTAATTTTTAAACATGAAGCGTATATTTATACGTAAAAAATGTATGCATTTTAAGCACAAATATATATATGTATATATATATAACTCGTTTGCCGGAAGAAGGTCGTATTTCAAATCATAAAATATGCGAAAAAGTTTCTAGTCAGATTCTTCCACTAGAACAAAAATTAATGAGAACCAAGATTTTAAAAAACAGCCGTAACCGTAATCCAAAGTATAAAGCTCTCATCAAACTTTGCTTTGGTCAAAAAGTGATTGTTTTCTATTTACGAATGCTAAGCTGACTATTTTAGTATCATATCATATCTCATCCAACCAACTGACTGGACTCAATATCTTGTGTGGGCGTTACTGGTGCTTAACGAAGCTCAGTTATTTTTATCAGCATGTTCTATTTTTTTATGTGTTGCTTGTTTTGTTTATTGTTTTAAAGATAAAAAGCGCAAAAAGTATGGCCCGTAGACGTACATATTCAGTTTTTGGCTGATTACACTGGATCACAAATTTTTGGTTCTCCAAACGCCACTATCCAATTTCTATGTATAATTGCTCGGCAGTTCTGGTTAATTTTTTTTCTATGGATACGTTTTCGAAATATTTGCAATTTACCGTTATTCAGCTTAAAGCAAAAGTTGGTTCCTTTTAATCACGTATATCATACGAACCAATTTAAAAATCTTAATATAAAATACGGCAAATGAAAGCCAAAACAAATCCCCATAAACCGTATATACATCACTTTCCGATAGGGCTTCTCTTTCGGACTAATTAATTAATCATTCCAGCTTTTTTTTTTATTTTTTAACGAAAAAAATTAAAAAAAAAAATCTAACTTTAACAGAAGAGAAAAACCAGTTCTGTGCCAAATTTTTGCATTTGTACTAAAGCCTGTTCTGTTAGGGAAAAAAAATCAAGTTACTGCGCAAGATTATTTGTATGAAAATTGGGTAATGGCATCCATAGAACATTTTTGCTGTAAACCAGTGTTATTTTCCACTTTCTGTTTCGTGGCTTCATCCAACTAATTAAATATTTACGCTTCTAAAATGTCTCATAAATGTCGTAATACAGACTTAGAAAATTATTAAAAGAGCAGTTTAAATATTTATTTTGATTGCCTTGAGCTTAGGGCATTATTGAACCAGTTTAAGTTCAAAAACTAAACATCAGAGGTATTCACACCTATTTTGTTACCTCAGCAATTTTGCAGTTGGCAGTTCGGCAAACTTACAGCTTGCACCAATTTGTGGCGTTGGTTGGAAACTGGGCTCGAACCCATTTCCTGCAGAATGGGAGCGCGCACTGCTAACGAATACAACCACAGCTGTCGCCAAGGTATTGCTCATAGTCCAGCTAAAACCACATAAATCCAAATTTCAAACTTTGTGCAAAAATTATTAAAGTTCAAGAAATTTGCACCAAAATTTTCGAAGATTATTTTATAGCCATTAAGTTTTAGTATAATAAA